TTCTTCTCTCTCTCCCTCATATTGGCCACTGCTCTTAATTGCCATGAATAATCGGAGCTCTCTATGTTGCAGAACCTTGACATTAATTACTCTGCTATTCATTTTCAAAGCATCCTCCTTCCTTCCTTTCTTTCATTTTTTATTAAGCATCTCTTGCTTTATGTCACACAATTATATCACCCATATTTATGGGCATCTGGACATAATTTGTTCCTTCCATTTAGGAGAAAGAGTCATTCAAAATTAGTCAAAACATTATTTAATTACTGTACATGTCTGTTAGGAATTGTTTAATATGACTGGTTTAATACAGGACTGACCAGGGGCTCATTCTTTAGTTTTTACTCCATGGTGAAGCATTTAGTCACAGCTCCATTTAAATTGACTGACAGTTAGCATTAGCCAGGTGTTGTTTGAAGTATCTCTGATACGTAATACCCAAAAGATTGTAAAATTGGTTCCTGTTATTTTTTCTTGCTGAAAGCAGGCAACTTCCATATTTGCTACACATAATACCTCCTCATTTTCTCCTGGAATGAGAAAAGTCCAGTTCCATGAATTCCTTGGAGGACTCATCCCCAGAAGATGGATGATATTGAAATGAAAAACTTCTGAAGTCAGAATCGTCATGTTAAATGGTGCTACAGGCATCTTTATGCAAGATCCTGGGCAGGGAAACCATTCCAAGTCCAAGGAGAGAAGACCCTGGAGGCATAGCCAAGGAGTTAGCAGGCAAACACTGGTTCACCTAGACCAAGAATGCACAACTTTTTTCAGGCTGAGCCTTTGAGTAGCAGGTTGTGGCACCCTTATAAATGTTCACAGGTCAGAGTCAAAGCATATGTAGGGCCAGGACAAAAATGCCATTGTTCTTAACTTTATTTAAAGGCAATTCTAATTAAACTTAACAAATTAATTAAAATTAATCCACACTATATATATTTAATGATTCCCCTTTCAATTTAATTTCAACCCCAAACTACAATTTGGTGGCAATGTTTAGAAATACTCTACATCTAGGACTTTTATATAGATGTCTCACATGATCATCAAAACTATTCTTATATGTATGTTCATGTCGTAATGTACAACTGAATCCTTCAAGTTTAAGTCAGTTTGTGTGAGAAAACAATGGGAAATTAATCACGTAAATCGTGTCCAGCTTTCTAAACAGTCCTCCAATCAGGACTCGGAGCAATAGTTTGTTTCTTCAGATAAAGTTCTTCACCCCACTGCATAATGGATGAGAGTAGGTGTCTTTTCAACTTTTCTTTGCAATCATGAACACAGGCACTCTCCATTTTTTTGGTCTTCCTGTTAGTTTCCAAAATATTGATACATGTGTCAAAAGCACATGTGAATCTACAAAACCAGTAAGTCTTTCATGATAAAATTAATATGTGAGATATCTTCTGTCCAAAAGGGAAGCACTAGAGCATACAATTGCATACTGTGAACTAAGGGTGCCTTTGGATCACCAGATCTCTGATAATTCTATGAACCTATCAATTTCTTTCTTAAAAGTTAATTTGCTGGGAGTTGAAGTCCACACATCTTAACATTGATAAGGTTGAGAAACCCTACCCTAGAGTCTCACTGCAAATTAATTCTGAATGATCCGCTGATTCACTCATGAAAGTGGATAGTTGTTTCTATTAGTGATGGTGAGAGCCACTACATCTGTCTTCATGGCCATAAAGGATTAAGACTGGGCTGTTGGTCCTTTCACTGGTATGGAGTTTTATACTACTTTAACAGCACACGCTGAAATTTCCATTAGCTTTCTCAGCCATTCTGTAGGAGAAGCAGATGCTGCTTTCAAATAGGCCATTTTGCTTGGCTGTTTATTTGAATTCTGAACAAGATCAAGGCAAGACACGAAAGCGAGATAACTGGTTATGGGAAAGGGGAAAACCACCATCGTGTGGATTAGCCCTAACATCTTTTCTCCTCTGGATACTTATTTTTACACAAGACTGGTCGCTGCCTTTCATTATGAAATTAAAACATTACGCACTCTGAAATTTGGGTAAATTTTCACTGACTAAGGGAAAATTCTTAATTGCGACTTAATTTTCCCTTTCCTGAGCAATAATATATGTCTTTATCTGAATATTCCCTATCAGCCTAGAGATTAGCAAATGCGCCTGTTCTTTTTACAATCACTCTGTCTAGACTTAATGTCCAAACAAATTCCTTTCTACTACTAAACCAGTAAGTAGAGAGAGAGAGTTTGCTTCTTCCTGCCACCACCACCAGCCTGGGAAAATACAGAATTAAAAGCTTACATTTCTTTTCAAGTTGTGGATTGCATAGGATGCGGCAAATTGTCTCGCCACTGTTTGTTTTATTTACATGTGGTCTCAACGTCTTTGTGATGATCCTTGTGCTTAAATGCATACAATTTTTGAATAAAGATTAAAATCCAGGAGCTATGATGCCAATAGCAAATTACAGGGCGTTTCCTCATCCAAGATCACTGGCTTTCACTACTGGTTTTGGGGCCTGATTTATCCATACGTACCAAAATGATCCATCTCTTCCACCAGAAGTACATATTGTGTTTTCGGCATATCTGAGGAAAGGGCATAAAAAGAATATGCTCACTCATGCCCTCTCTCCCCATTGCAGTACTTAGCTTGAAAAATATAGGGTGATCTGGCTGAGGTTGATCCAGAGGGCAGACACCTTTATGTGGTATCCCATCATCCACTTCAAGAATGCAGCATCCATTTCATTCTGCTCTTCTGTGGTGAATTTTAGTTCTTTGAAAACAGGATGAAAATCTGGATAGCTATTTCTAAAAAGGCCAAACGAAATGCTACTTGGGAAGAAATCAGGGTGGGTCTATGTTGAACATACAAAACATTTTGCTTAAAGCCAATCTAGAACCAGCACAGTTCTTTCTTAATAACTGAAAGATGTTAAAATTCAGTTCAAATGACGCAGCAGCACAAACCTGATCTGATCCCCCTGTGAACTCTGGCAAGAGGATACTCTGACCGTAGAGCAGTGGTAGGCAACCTGGTGTCCTCCCGATGTTTCGGATGACAACTCCCACAGTCCCTCACCATTGGCTATGCTGGTTGAGGCTTATGAGAACTCAGATCCAAACAATCTGGAAAATCCAGGTTGCAAAGGGCAATCAGACTTCTGCAGAATTCTGTGCCAAATTTTTATATGAGCAACTGTTGCTATGGTGGTGGACATGTCAGAGGACAAAGTTCCGGCTGAAGGGCCAGCCATTCACTGTAAGAAATTGCAATCTGCCCCAAAGCAAGGTGTGATAGTATTCTATATAATTGGCAAACTATTCCATGCCGCTTGTTGGAGAAGCATTTGAGTTCCCATAGTCCCCAATCTTTTCACCACGCTTTGCATTACTCTGTTAAGGCTTATTCAAAATTTGAGCACTTTGCCTACCCCCAAATCTAGGGAAGGGTTGGAGCCATTGTTGCGGAGTCAGAAAGGCATTACCCGCCCTCATCCTTTTTTGTTTCATCTTTATTCATCCTCATGTGGCCATGGGAATGGAGGACATATGGTAGAAACCAGAATACACATGACATTTCATGGGGCCCCTCTAGGACATTAGGAGAAGTGAGACTCCGTTACCTTCCCCCTGCCACCCCCTCCCCCTGTCCTCAGTCAGTTGTTGAGATGGCCCAGCTCACCAGAAAAATTACTTTAACCACAAACAAGATCAGGTCTGTCTGAGTCTAAAACTGGATTTAAAATAATCTTTAAAATGAACCTTATTTTTCTGTTCACATTCACCCCCATAAACCAATCAGGCTAAACATGGCTAATATAAATCAACAGTCTGCAAATTTCAGACTATTTCAACTGCTATAATCCTTCCTTTAACAGGCACAAGCTAAGGAAGCAACATCATCATTGATACTATCGTGAAGCCAGAAATTTTACTTCAAAGTTTTGAATTCAGAGTTTCTCTGGGGATGTGTATTCCCATATAACTCCTCCTAACCTGGCATAAAATCTGCTAATGAGTTTTTGGTCAGGATCCTGTCTTTTGTGCATGCCAAATTAGCATTCAGTGGGACCAGGCCTTTTTGATTATTGTCCATGTTGTGAAATACACCTCCCAGAGGATTCATTTGTCTCTGCAATTTTCCTATTTTTAGAAATGAGTACGAATATTGTTGTTTTAGCCTTCTGAACACAAGAATCTTCATTTAGTAATGTAAAAATTCAAAATTTATTTTATAGCTGTCTGATGATTTTTGAATTGTTTTACATTTCCTCAATTTCTTTGCTTTTAATTTTATTTTCAACATTGTGAACTCCCATAAACTAAACATTCGAAAAGCAATATGAAAACACCACAGACCAATTCTTGTATTTTGCCTTTACAATCCCCAAGGTTTAGTACATTTTTTTACCCCTAAAGGCTTGGATTTCCAGAAAATGTCAAACACAGCGCTAAATTAAGACCACTTCATTTTAATATCACCTTCTCTGATTTATAATTTAATCTTCCAAAATATTCTCTGTTTCGGGAATACCAATTGTTATCTAAGTTTAAGGGACATTAATTGTATAAACAAACAAACAAACAAACATTTTGTCTTGAATCTTCCCTAGATACGCCTGAGTATAAAGATATCTCTTCTCTGCCTCCTAGGCACATATTCTGTCTCTTAAAGGGATACTCATTGTATTCATCTTGTGATGAAACCATAAATTGTTTGCATTCTGCTAAAAATGTTAAGAGTAAACTGGCTACTTCCTTATTAAAAAAAAAAAAAGGAAGGCAGGAAGAAACTGAAGACATTTTGGAAAGAGAAAACTGCTACAAGGAAGGCAGTTGACAGCTGGAGAGAATAAGAAAGGAGAAGGAGATGGCCAGAATTCACAAAAGAAAAGATTCTATGACAATTGTTCTCTAATTAAGCCCTAAGAAGTTCTGTTTGCGTATCTCTTTAAAGAAAAATAAATATATGTTATACTATTTTTATTTTTAATAACATTTTAATTGTTCATCATCAACTGGTCCTTTAAGTAAATGACAGACAGAAGATAATGCCAAGCCCTCCTCATGTCTACGATGCTATCCTACCAAGAAAAGAAACAAGAATAATATCAGTACATAATCAAACAACAGTGTAAGCACTTAAAATTATCACTTTGGGGAGAGTGACAGCAAGATTTTAACACAGATGTCTTTGTCCCCAATCTGAACTTCTGACCAAATAACACCATTTCCCCACATGTAATAGCAGAAGGGTGGGATATACCTTACAGAAGTGTAGACCTTGATTAAAAGGTTGAAGGAAAAGTGGAGCAGGAATCGGAGATCTAAGAAAGCCTGAAGGAGGAAAAATGCTGTAAAAAGGACCAAAGAAAAATACAGCACAAGAAATATATAGAAGTTAGTTCCACAGAAAAAAAGAACAGGAAAAAAAGGATGGGGAGCATAGCTGTGAACAGAAATCACTGCCAGATTCGGGACAATGGAAAAGCTGCTTTAATAAAGAATGTGAGGAACACAATATTCAGTGTGAAGGAGCCAATGTGGAAGATCTAAGACTGTTACTAACTAAAAAAACAGTTGTTAAGAGAAGAAACCACAGAAAGAAATGAAATTTCCAATCAGCCAAGTACCGAATATTTTCAGATTTTAAGGCAACAAAAGGAGCTGAGAATATTCCAGCTGAGAGATGAAGAGGCTCAACATCAGCATGAAAAGGAAACGTTGCAGTTTAAGGTTTAGTGAAAAGATAATGATACTTCTAAGGACATTCTTTATGTATATCTGAGAAGATGCCCATATCTTTCTGTCAAATTTTGAGATGGCTACTAGAATACAGAAATTGAAAAAGACTTTCAGGAAATCCATCCAGACTGGACAGAGATATACAATAAACTTTTTGAGAAACTGTTATGCTGTCTTTAAACAAACTGTATGCAAAAAGTTTAAAATGGGACCTTTTTATTTTATTTTTTTCAGAAAATGCTTAGATTTAAACTCCAAAGTAGGCATTTTATGTGGTATTTGGTACAACTATTAAAGAAATAGTTAGATTCAAGAGAGGGGCATTTGTGGGGGAGGGGAGTCAAGATGGCAACCACAATCATGTTGATTGAAGCCCTGCCCCTTTATGTAAAAGGGGTGGAGTTTTGATTATGTGGTTGCAGCCACCATCTTGATTTTTTTTTTTAACCCTGCATAGACATCCCTGGTTAGATGAGACCAAGATAGACAGTCTTGAAACAATTATAGATCTAATACATTTGGACCAGTTTTATTTTCATTTAATCTATGAAATAAAGATTAAAAATGGGGGGGGGGACAACAGATACAGTAATGAAAATAGTGAGATAGCTGACCAGTTTGTACTGAAAAGAGTGGCGTCACCTTTCAGATTTTGTACATCAGAAATAGAGTAATTATTCTAATCTGAAAGTCATCCCTCTACACAAGAAATAAAAAGTCAGGACTTTCAGAGGAAAATGGATTCTGAGATAATATGTGACAACTGTGGCAAAAATAACACATGAATGCTGGTTGGTATTTTACGAGTCTAGTAGCTGACAGAACATCAGAATCACAATATGAAGTACAAGAAAAATTGCAGAACTGATCTACCAATGTGGAAGTAAACAAGAGTGAGATAAATGACAAGAGAACCTGTGATCACTTCTCAGCCCTTTGTCTAAGATCATGTGTAGCAACCTGTGATCATTTGTAACCAGAACATAATGAGAATAGTAGACACAGGTACCTGTAATTCAAAATTGGTGGACAGAAAAAAAAAATGCCTTTAATATGGCGGGAGGACTAAGAAGGAAAGATCTTTGAGACTACCGATGTGTGACCGCGAAAGTCGAAAGAAGAGAAAAGAAGAGAATAGAAGAGAGTTGTTTGAAATACAGTAGGTGTAATAAACATCAATTCATACCATTTATTATAGGGAGGAATATCAACATCCAACAATATACATGTTTGTGCCATTACCAGGAGACCAAGACATTTGGGAGATAGTGGCATGGCTAACTGAATCCCTGATGTTCCCTAGGAAGTGAGAGTTCTGGCAGGGGGAAGCTGTGGAAATAAAAAGCCAGTGGTAGCAAAAGAAACTGAAGGATTATTGCTGTTGAGAAAACAGTGGTTATCGATAGAGCACGTGGGGAAGCAAAGCTAACAGCAGAAGAGGCTGCAGAGGAACCTGGGGAAGACAAAGGCCTCCAGAAGATGTAAGAGAAGAAAAGAAGACAGCAAGGAGAAACTGAAAATCTTACTTTGGGCTGCTGAGGCAAACAATAGAGAATGCAGTAGTAGAGACACTATTGAAAGCATGAGGCAATAGAAGGAAAAACAACTTGTAACCACTGTTAGGAAAGAAGACTGCCAGACAAATGAGACACAAAAGCAAGCCAGTGTTTTGGAGAAAATGGAGATTACAGTTCTACAAAACCAGAGGTAGCAGATCTGAAACAGAAGGAAACAAAGAAACTCCAGAGGCAGCTGCTGCCTGATACTGCAGCATATGCGGAGAATTCAAGAATCTCAGAAAATGCTGAACTGGGTCTGAGAGCAACCCTGCGTGGGGCTCTTCTTCAGTGTTCCCAAGAAACTGAAAATGGTGTAATTTCAACAATCCCAGCTGTGCAAAGAGCTGATGAAAGTAAATACATTTTCCCATGTTGCTAGAAAAAGGAGGAAGCCAAAGGAAAAAAATTCAGCAGACAGACAATGAAGCTAAGAAATGCAGGCCTGAACCTGCTGGTGGTGGTGGTGACGGTGGTGCCCCCACTGGAAATGCAGTTGCAGAGAATTTGAAGAAGTTAAAAGAAGCAGCTATGAATTTCGGAGACAAAACATACCTGGAAAGAGAAATGTGATTGATGTATTATGACAGGAGATATAAAAATAATCTATTTGATTTGGAAGGGGGGGTGGGATTATTCTGCTTAGATCCTGTATCCCAGAAGGATGGCACTGCTAAGCATGTAAAAAAAAGGGAGGGTTATCTGATGAAATAATAGTTACATTCATTCTACTAAATGAAGTAAAAGCTGAGTGATCTCGGAAAAAAAGGGACGTTAAGAAAAAAGAGAGGCAGTAGACAGTTGGCTAGAGTCATAACAGGAAGGGAAAGGAAAGCATATAAGAAAAGGAAGACACTGGTGGACCCTTGTGACAATCATTCTGTGACTTTTGTTGATGTACCTCTTTAAAGAGAAGCATCTTAAATTTCATATATATTCATGCAGGGTTATTGCAAAAATTTTTATACAGTAATTATATTTTTATTAAACATTTTTCAAAAATAGGAAAAGAAAAAAGGTAGTCAAAGAAGAGAAAAGAAAACTTAAAAAGAATGAACAGAGAATTTGCAAGTAATATAGAATTAGGTGAAGGCTTTCAATATTTCATTAATTAATTTTAAGTAATTAAATATATTGTTTTAAAAACTACAGATTGCTGTTAAGATCCAAATAATATATGAATATCAACAGCTGTAATTAGCACAGCATAGATCATAAAATAAGATTAAGAATTACAGTAATTGCTATCCGAGCAACTGAAGATCTATTCTTATTTAACAGATCACTGAAAGCTGAAGTATTAAAACTTTTATTTATTAAGAAAATTTATATAGCTGGCTGTGTAACCTGTGGAATTCTGGATGGTGAACAAAGATAAAAACAGAGTAAACCAACAAAATTAGAAAACCAAGTCTAGACCCAAAGTTATATTCAGAGAAACCCAGATTTCAGATGAGTTTTATGCAGAATTATAATCCAAAAATGATTTCCAAGTTGGGTTAAATTCCATGTCAGATCTAATTTTTACTTGCAAGGTTGTTACAAACATCAAGGCATATCCCCAGGACTCAAATAGCCCTTCTTCTGCAAAAGGAACTAAAGGTACTTTCCAGTTAGAAATACAATACATCCTTGCAACAGTTACATATACAAAAATTGCTCAGTATACTCATGGGGACATAAAGTTTAGCAATGTTTAATCAAAAAAGATATCAGGTTGGAAAGGAAATTCACCTTTTGGAATTTATTTCATTTTATTACAAATCATTTCCCCAAATTGTTGAGCTTTACTGCATTGCCATCAATTATGGAAAAATGATCAAACCTGGTCACTACATCTCCAACCATTTTTGGAGAACGAACTGTTCATTTTAGCAAACAGTATTGGAGCAATATACCAGCAATAAAACATCTTTCTATACTTTCAGAAAATTGGTATGAGATGTTCACTGCTGGTATATTGCTCCAGTACTGATTTCAATTAAATTCAGTGTGAATTTAATTGAAATGCCCATTGTGGCATATCAATTACTGTATCTAAATTCGGCAGCCATTTAACCATTCAATGTTTAATTGGTTCAGTTCCTGAGTCTCATCTCACTAACAATCTGTAAATAAGACTCAGAAATTGTTTTAAATTCATGGTACAAGGTTTTAAATTCAGTCAGGTCTCTAAGTGTTCCCCCCTTGTTTTTGCCATTGTTTTAATGTTATAGAGTTTATCTGAAGCTACCAAGACTGGCCAGGAGGTTTTGGCCATTCCAAAGACAGAGTCTCAAAAGAGTTCATCATTGTCTTATTAAGAATCAAATACTGCAGTTTAGGCATCTTGTTAGTTCTCCACTGAGTGCATTTCTCTGTACTTTCCTCTTCATGAGGAATATTTAGTAATGAGGCAAGAGGGATCAGTTGGACTGATTCTTTCCTTGTATTTATCCCAGGTTTTTAATGTGCTGAGTATTGTTGCATAATCTCTTACAGACTGTTTATTTCTGTCCGCATTGATCCAAAGATATTTGGGCAGGCCCTCTGGGAATCCCGCCCCCTCAGCAATGATAACCCAACCATTAGGTGACATGGACATGCTCAAATCTGCAATCCAAGCTGTGCAGTTTAAAACGTGGAGCTGCCAGACTACCTCATTCTTTCAAATCCTGCAGTATCTTGAATTTCATCCTCAGTCTTTTATTGGACCATATAAAATTTGTTACTTGTCTTTGCCAGTCATTTTATATTTTATTTTCAAGTTTTATGAGAATCCTTTGGAACAGAAATTCAAGCCTTGGTAGAACAATCACCTTCACAGCTACAATTCTTCCCAATCAAGGCAGTTTCAGTCTTCTCCCTCTTGAAATATCTGCCATTATATTCTTCCAGGTTTGCAAATAATTATTTTTTAAAAATGTATTAATTTTTGCCCAGTAGATTTCCAGGTGTTTGGCAGCAATATTAAACCCCACTATTTGGTATCAATATTACTCAGTTAAGCCCCAAGTCAACATGTGAGTTGTATCCTTTCGCTGAGTAACTATAATCACAACATTCTCAACATATAATTTCAAAGTATGTTTTTGAGTTGCTAATTTAATTCTTGAAATTTAGTTTTCTTTATGCATTTTCCCTGCTAGTGACTCCAATGCCAACAAGAATAAGGAAGGAGAAAGGTGGCAACTTTTAATTGTTCATAATCAACTAGTCCTAGTTGTTCTTAATCAACTAGTTTAATTGTTCATAATCAACTAGAGTAAATAAGAGACAGAATCTATTGTGGCCCTTCCATATGTAAGATACTATGCTACCAGGAAAAAAATTAAGAAGGAAACAGCAGGTAACCAAAATATAAGCCCTCTCAAATTGTTTATATTAGGATGGTAGCAGCAAGACTTTAAAGTATTTTTTTTTTCATTCGTGAAATCAACTTTGAAGAAATGATGCCACTTCTGATCTGATAAACCCAGTTTCTACAAGCCCAATCAATCAAAGTATCCAAATAAAGATTTTTTTAATGTTTGCATCAGGGGTAAAAAATGTCTTCATTCTAGTTGTGTGAAAGGCTTTGAGGGCCCTGTTCCAATGTTGATGGAGCTAAGTGAAAGTGGATAGTCTCCTCACTCAAAACATTTCTGAAATACGCCTACTCAGATATAACCCGTGGTGTCATCTGCATACCTATTCAAGTGAGTCACACAAGGCTGCAGCTTCAGTGCACACACTTAAGCCATAGATCTGTGAAAGCTTCAAAACAACTCACTTCTAAAAGAAAGCAGACGGCTTGCTTTCAGTTACCTCAGTTTGAAGCTTCCTCCTCTAATTTCGATACCAGAATAGACTTCTGCACATGTGCAATGCTCAAGTCTGCTAATCTCGTGTATGTGTAAGGAGCCTGATAATAGAAGGGCTGAAAGAGGTTTTTGCACACGTGCAACACAAACAAAGAAACTTTTTCTGGCAAATGGAACTGCCAACTGAGACTCAGAGGTGATATGAAGTATATCGACAAAGTCTTTGCGCTTTGACAAATTACATTGTGTCACTACACAAATAACATAGAAGTAGGTTCTCCGTTTGTTTTCTCCCTGACCAATACAAAATACCTGCAGGTATCCTTTTTTTTTTTTTTTGGTACTGTAGAACATTTAGATAAATCACTGTCTGCATGGTTCAATCTTGTACTTATCTATTCAAATAGGAAAGTTCTATGAGGCTTCTTCATCTGCGATAGGATTGCAGGCTTTGCAAAGTGAATTAAGCAACAAGCAGAATCAAGCAGCATTGATCGCATTTGAAACCTAGCAAAAAGCTCTGAAAAAAATGCTTTCGCTTCACTTCCTTTCTTCTAAGCATTGGTTGATGGCTTATAAATAATAAGTTAACTGCAAAAGTGTATAATTTGTGCCTGTTATTGTGGCACCATAATTTTAGCAATGAGACCTCCACAGGTCTCTGGGTGCTGCACTGAATAACCCCAATAACCCTTTATCAGGAAAATAAACCCTCCTTGATGGGAATGGGGGGGGGGGGAAGCAAGTTTAGTCTGGGAGAATAGCAAGTATGTTAATTATAACCAAAAATTATGTGCTTTTACTGCAGGATTGCACACTGAAAGCATAGTGATCCTGGGAAATTTGTGACAGCTGGTCGGTATGAAAATGGGCACTTCGTACCAATACTCTTCCTACTCTACAGTCCCTGAAAAGCAGTTGAGACCAACCCATGATTGCCTTCACTTCTGCTAAACCTTGCAATGCCTAGGCCAGGGCTATAGTGATTGAACCTTTATTCAGAGAGAGAGAAAGGAGATGGGAAGAAAGTGAGGCAAGAATTCCAGCAAGATTTGCTTCAAGCAAAAAAACCCCTTAGTTTTCCTGTGATTGTAGATACATACACCTTAGTTGAGCTAGCAGAAAATAGATTCAGCTTTCAGACACAGCTCCAGTCATCAGATCCTGAAATACACAGATGCACCATATGGAAATATCATGTTTTGATTTACCATAGAGTCAAGATTAATATTTTTAAACAATATATAATTAAAACATTTATGAACCATTGTTCATAAATGGCTTAGTTTACAAATAACCTTCAGCAGTTTAGGGGTTGTCTTAATGTGATATATGGACCCAGGCACTGTGCTTACTACTAATATTAACCAGGGCACTATGGCCTGTTCAACAAATCATGATTAAAAGCATTCTGATTTTATGCGGTGTGAGAACCCAATCATTATTTGCGAATCTAGTCGATGCCCCTGTATCAGATTAGAAAGGATATAGTAAAATGAGCATAAGTAGTTTAAAATAAGGCTGTAAATATGAAGCCTTCCTTCTTCAAGCTAAGAAAACATGAGAGAGAAGCAAATTTATATTTAGTTGATCTGTATGTAATAGTTTCAAAAGACTGCAGTTTATTGCTGTCTGGTAAAATTCCCTCGAGCCTGCAGGAGTAACAGCAGAAATTAATTTATCCCATCTTCTGTTTGGGTGTATTAGACAAACATAAATTATTTATAAAGAAGTCTGAGAGATCTCTGTCACAGTCCCTTTAGTCTGCTTGAAATGAAAAGAACTCTACAGCTTGCCCAATTATTTGTTACACCCCTAATGAGAAGGAGAAGGAGAAGGAGAAGGAAAAGGAGATTTTAATCATAAATAACATCACAGTACAGAAGCAATTATGGATCAGAATACTGGAAGAGAGAAAATAAATACCTGAAGAAAGACAACCGTAGGTCCCATTTGAAGTGGATGGGTTTATCTATGTTAGTTTGCGATTTGCCCCATGGGCAAGGTCTTGCAAAAGCCCAGAATGGTCTATCAGCACATCTGAAGCAAGAATTCTTTCCAGCCTGATAGATGGAGGGCAAGCTACCATGAGAAGCTCTGATGAGTATGAAAAGCTGGGCGTCTATCTAAGTCAACTGAAAATAAAATAAAACAAAACAAAAATGAAACTGTGAGGCAAATCACAGTGGCCAGCTAAGGGTTAAATTGTATTTGCTGTTTGGTCCCTTCCTCTGTTTGTGCTTTGTCTATAAAAGTTCTGCATTTGAAGAGCCTCCATGAAGTGCAGAGAGTTCCCTAGCAACCAGAGTGAAGAGCCCTTGAATGTTTCAGGATCACATATATGCCTAGATTTGTCAGATCTTGGCACTTCTCCGGATACGAGGGTGAACTATGTGTGTGTATGCCTGTCACATTTTAATACCATTAATGACTGTGTCCAACTGAGTATCAGGTGTGTTAGATGCTGTCTGACTGTAATTTATTTTTTTCTCAGCAGTTTTGTAGTTGGGTCCAGAGTTGTAGTTGGTTCACAATCACAGCAGGTCCACAACTACTGTGGCTGAATCCAGTGACAGATTCTAAAGGAAAAGAAAATGCAAAGAGTGCACATCTCAAGCTGGAAAGAACTAAACAATATTACCAAAATTACAAACTGCAAAAACCTGAGAGTCAGCACAGTCTAGACCAGTGTTTCTCAACGTTGGCAACTTGAAGCTGTGTGGACTTCAACTCCCAGAATTCCCCAGGAATTCTGGGAGTTGAAGTTCACACATCTTCAGGTTGCCAAGGTCAAGAAACACTGGTCTAGAGGTTAAGGTGCTGAACTAGATGTGGGGAGACCTGGGTTCTAATCCTCCTGTGGACCTTTCATACTCTCTGGGCCCTAAATCAGCATCACACTCTTCAATGAACCAGATGAAGAACAAAACCTTTGGTTCCATCATGGAACCAGAACTAGGCAACTGCAGTGCAAAGCAAGTGGATTCACAATTAAGCATCTAAGAACAATAACAACCACAAGCTGCAGAAATTTAAGATGGAAAGGTGATCCAAGAAATTTAAGTTGATCTCTGGAAAATGCTCAGTACAAACAGGCCACAGACTACCCAGAAAACAGAGATAAAAGAAACAGGCAGACAAAACTGTTCATTATTTGTATGAAACAACCATGTTTTTCACCTAGAATATGTCCATGTTCCTACTGTTTTCAGTCCCCAGACTCTCAGAAGTAGGTTGAAGGTAATCTTCAACAAAGACTGAAAATGCTAGCATGCCCTAAACTGTTGCAGATCCTTTAGCCACAGAAGTCTCTTCACCTCAAAAGTCAGGAAAAATAAATAAATTTATTTATTTATTTATTGTATATGGCTGACCATCTCAAGCATATCACTCTGGGTAGGAG